ACCAGGACAGATACAGACGTGGGGAGATTTTGTGCCGTATATACACGAGGTCTTCGAACACGGCATTAACGCTGAAGCTCGCATGTTGATCCTGCAGGCGATTCATTTCCAGGAGCTCCGTGAGACCGATGAGAGGGAACAAAAAGAGAGAGCGAAGAATGCCTCGGCATTAGCCAAAGCGACTAGATCGAAAGAGAAAAAACGGTCGTCGATGGACACGAAGGAGAAGCCTGGGATTGAACCGTTAGCATACGCCGCATACTCCTTCAAAGACAAAAACGAGGAGCCATTCGCAAAAACGCGAACAAAGCGTAAGCTCACGCCGACAACGCCTACTAGAAAGCCTCTGGCTCCGAAATCCCAAGGGCTATTTGGAGCAACCAAGGCGATAATGAACACCCCCACATCCACTCCTAGACATCGGGCAGCATCAATGTTCTCTTCCATGAGTCCCTTCCGGAAATCTAAAGAGCCAAAGTCACAGTCTCGACACTCTAGCATGGCGATGAAGGCACACAGCCCTGCACCAGCCATACCAGAGACGGCACCTAAACACAACTCCAGTCCAGTTGCCCAGTCTACCGCCTGGACGCCGGCTTTTGTAGCTCCCGAAACACTTGTCTCTACAGCCTTTGTTGCTCAAGGGCAAGGTGAGATATATGCCGCGACAACACCACCCACAACTCCACCATCCGCTCAATCGCAGCCGAGTCTTCCACATTACATGGCCTCAACCGTGGGCTCAATGCAACGGTACGAGACCCGCAGCCCTCGGCTTTTCTATTCCGATGAGTCTGATGACTGCAGTAGGTCGAATATTTTTGGCCGGCGTTCTCTGAAGAATAGTGCGAAGACGTTGGATCGGACGCAGGGCATGAGGGGATGAATCATTTGCTGGGGTTCAATATGCCGCGAGCCATCTCAACGACATGGTCCTCTTGGTTGTTCGAACAATCATTGATGGGTATTATTTTGTGAATTCCAACAAAATAAGAGGCTGGTGGAGGATGCAGAGTCAGGAGCGATGCTACGGCTGAGTGTGGGGCATGACGCGTCTCGATGAGCTAGTGCGTGGATGGCACCTTGCTTTTCTCTCTCTTCAATCAATGTACACTTCACTTTCACGATCCGCCTAGATGGCGCTCGAAATACTGTCAACACAAAGCCATCTCATTCTCTAGGCATATTACAAGACCTTAGTGTTGCGAAACCAGTCGCTCGAACTCGGCACGAGTGTGATCCACTCGCCACTCCATATGAACGCATTCATCTATCTTACACTGACGCAAAGAAATATAGCATTTGAGCTAGTTGTAGAAACTTGATCTACGCTTACAAGGCCCAGGCAGCAATAGCGAAAACGACCGACAAGCCCATGGCCATCGAGTTCACGACAGAGACTGAAGTAGCAGCTCCAGCTCCAGTACCGCTAGGGGCGGCGGTGCCAGATTGCTGAGCACTCTCGCTTCCACCGTCACTTCCGCCATTGTTACCGTTGTCGCTGTCGTTACCGCCGTCGTTGTTGTTACCGCCAGTGGTAGTGTTACCGCTTGAAGAGCCACCAGATGAAGTGCCGTTGTTAACGGGCTCCGCCGAAGGCAATTCCTTTTGCTCCTTAGGGCAGCTGATGTCGAAGCGCGGGGTGGTGGAGAGGTTGTCGGAGACGGCGAACTTCACCTTGTTCGCGGGGTTGGCGTCGCGGAGTGTGTACCAGAAGACGTTCTTCTTGCCGAAGAGCGCGCAACCGACATCCTTCCAGTATGTCTCGGCGTTGTCCACAGTCGACTTGGCAGCACCAAAGTCTGGACCCTTGTATGCCCAACCGGTCTCGGTAACCCATACGTCTTTGCCTCCAGCAACACCCTCGGTTGCGCTGATGGCGCTGCTCAAGAGCTTGCCGGCGTTGTCAATCTTGTTGTCCAGCTCGGACTCGTAGAAGGGGAAAGCGTTGACGGCCAAGAAGTCGATCTCGTCGATGACCGCGGCGTTGGACTCGTTGACCCAAGCAGTCCAGGTGTCGACGTGGGTGATCTTGACATCCTTAAGAGGAGTGTCGGCAAGACGCTCGCGCGCGGCCTTGATGAACTCGACAATCTTCTCGGCGCTGTTACCGACACCGGCCTTGTTCCGGATGCCGGGCTCAGACACGCGGTAGAGATCCTCGGAACCGACCGACAGTCCAATTACGAGATCCGTCAGCTTGGTGCCGTACTCTTCGACGGCAGAGTTCAACGCCTTCAGCTCGTTGTCGATGTCGTCGGTTCCCGAGGCCCAGATACCGAGAAGGAGCTTAGAGTTTGTCTTAATGGCAGCAGGGAAGGCGGCGATGGGAGTGTCGGTCGTCTGCCACTGGATGTTGGAGTACAGGCGGATGGCGGTGAAGTCGCCCGGCGCGCCCTCGAGGTTCTGCGCTGTGGTGAACTCCTTCTCGAAGTCGGCCTGTGTCTTGGCCTTGCCAGTGTCGTCCGAGGCTCCCGAGTTGAAGCCCAGGACGAAGTCTTGGGCAAGGGCGCCGCTGACGGTGGCCGCCGCGACGGCAAGCGCTGATACGAAACGCATGGTTGGTAAAGTAGAATAAGGGAGCGACTGTAGTTGAAAAGTTGAAAAAGATTGCAAGAAGAAAGGTGTCAGAGAGTGTGGAGAGAGTGTGGAGAGTGAGATTGTTCAAGAGAGAGCAGGGCAAACCCCCGTGTAGGTTCGTGCAAACACGCGCTGGCGATCATTCACGAGCGGCTTACCCCGTAATTGCGCTCTCGGCGTCCGGGGCCGTGTGATTGGGCAGCGGTCGCACCGCGCTGGTATCAGCCTCAGCTGGGACTTGGCGCCAAGAATTGCAAGTGAGCCGTCGCTCTTCGTTTGGTGAGTCTTTGGTGCACAGCCACGCGCCTGAAACGGCGCGTAGAATGAAAGTGTTTCGGAAGCTTTTGGACGTCACGTCATAATAGGCTATCCTCCTGTCGTCTCCAGGCTCTGGCGCTTCTTATTCCCGCAGCACGTACTAACCCGACATCATGTCTACAAAGCCAATACAATACATCTCTGAACGAAGAACTTCGCTCCAAGGACGCACCAGACATCAGCACCAGTCTTGCTGGCTATGCCAACACCTATCGCGTACTGCTACGCCTCAGCCGTTGTGCGACCCCCATCGCAGCTGACATGTGTTACGATGCAGTTAGGATACCCATACCTACCTACGAGCGTGTTCATCCAGAGACTGCTCAGGTGAGGATGGTGAGTAATCGACAGAGAGAGAGAGTTCAGTAAACATGGAGCACGTTAAGTAAACGCCATGCCACCGGAACAATCCCGGAATACCTGAAGTCTTGTGCTGAGCTGTACGTCGAACATGTTGGAACAGCCCTCCTCTTCTACGTTACACAATCTTGCTCCGTGATATAGCGAAACAGCTGCTTACATGGTAACACTCGGTATAGCTTACGTCAGAACCATCTAGGATGCGCTGTTCTAACAGCCGTGCGATCCGCTAGGATACAACATAGCTTACATTGCCCAGATATCATTCCATAGTGTACCACGTCTCCTAATATAGGCCCCATAACTTCCTGCCTGAATAGTAATCGTTCACCCAGTCCACCTAAGCGATCTTCCCGAATGGTAGTCGGTCATCAAGGATTCAGATAACCGATCACCTGGATTAGGATCTCAGAACGCCACATTAATCTATAAACTCTGCTTTTCGACGCTTATTAAGATGATTCGAACCGGGCAAGAGAACTCTCTGTTGGAAGTGGGGTCCAACTGATGCAAGCAGGGGGCAAATCATGGTTATTGGCGCACTCGTCACCATGGGATCGCTTGATGGGGACTAGATTGCTGCATACAAGGCTTGTAGTGTGCGGAACTATGCCGCAGGAACGACAATAGCGACCGAGGATACCTCCTTTGTTGTCATTCTTCGTGAAGCTATCAACATGACTGGCAGATGTATTCACAGACTATATGAGCCGTAAAACATCCACTGACTACCATTTGCTGTTTCGAGACTAGCATTGTGTGAAGGACCTGAAGGACGATTTGAAGGGTCGTGATGTTCCACCACGCGGACTAGGATGCCTGTGCCACTTCCCCGCTTGAGTGCTCGCTGTGCGACATCGAGTAAGCAGGTTTAGTAGGGCGCAGTCGAGATGTTCAAAGTAATGGGTAAGCGCTGAGATGAAAATGAGGACTTGTAAAGTAAAGTTCTGGGGTGAGACAAGGGCGCTAACACTATACGATTACTCGCATCACACCGGTCACTACCTAGTACTTACCAAGAGCCACGGCTGATTAAGCCTTAACCTGTTGTCTAGATGTGACTCGTCCCTGAGGGGCCAACAAACTTTTCCCACTGGTATACCAGCCTCAGATGTCCCGAACAATGTTTTTGACACCCGCTGTACCCGTTGTACAGACACAACATCCACCTAGCGTGACGGGAAATTGTAGAACAAGAGCCCGACATTACGCGCTGGGAAACGCCACTTCATGCCAACCCCAGCAGATAGTCAATTGGCTGGTACAGATATACATGCAGAGGTTACACTGCATTGCAGAAGTTTCCTCGGGAATGTACATGTACAAGCTATGAACGGAGGCAGTTACGACACTACGTCGTTTGGCTTACACATCATATTCGTACACGCTGAGAGATGGAAGAAGTCTCGAGAGAATTTAGAGCACGTGTGGCTTTCTGAGGCCGGTATCGTGGTGGAATCCATACCAAACCAGTGGGCAGTAGAGAGGCGAAGCATGAAGGTGGGGGCTGTACGACGTGTTAATGCTGACTTATTGTGTAACAAGACCCCCCGCCGCACAGTGATGATAGCGAGCGCGGCAGTGGATGGGTTATGGTCGTGAGTCCACGCGTGCAAATACAAGCGGCTGATTTCCACTGGTATCATTGTCAAGTAGAGCATTACACTGGTGCAAAGATAGGGTAAGAAGATCTGGAAAGAATCGGGAACCGGCGTATATTATCCTGTTCGAGCGTTGGCCTCTTAGGTAGCCTCCGCTGCAGATGGAGCCGAATTGTCATCAACATCCATCGCTCGCAGCTTTGCCTCCACGGCCGCCACGACCTGGGAATCGAAATGCTCCCCCTTTTCAGGTTTCCTGACACTGTGATATGTTAGCGATAGATGCTTGTGAGTTCCTGCAAGATGTATACTCACGGTGATCTTGTACACTTATCGCATCTCTCATGCCCACATCCGGGACACTGCGGCGAGTTATTGTGAAACAGGCCATTGCACTTCTCACATTGCCAGCGCACCCTAGTCCTCGGCTTTCGCCAGGTCCGTCTGAATTTCTCCAGCTGTTTCTCCACCTCCGTCTCGCTGTCAGGCTCAGCATCGCCCGGATAGCCATCAGGCCATTTGCTGAGCTTGGCTGGCTCGCGCGGGCATTTCGTACATCGGACATGCTGGCAGGAATTGCAGACATTCGCCGTTGCGGGAACGAACAAATTCTCACACACATGACAGTTGCGTCTAATGCGTTGTCTCGCAGGTTGATATACCAACTCGTCGCCACCACGAGTCCGGATGGTGAGCATTCTCTTTCGCTTGGGTTGCTCCATACCCTCTTTCTCGGCTTGCTTCTCTTCCGGCGTCTTCTTCTTGGGGAAACGAGGGCACTTCTTGCACCGTTTGTGCTCGCATTGCAGGCACACCTTGTCGGAGCCGTAAAGGGTTCCGCAGCGGTGGCAGCTGCGATGGACACGCATACGGATCGATTTCTCGACACGCTGAACGGTGGGCTTTGGAGCTGGTGCAGCGATCCACTCGTGCGACTCAAGAGTGAGGCCGTACTTGGCGAATAGGGCGCGGGCTCTCTCTTGCTGCATGGCGTTGCGATCCATCTCCTTGGTAATTGGAGTTGATGGTACTGACACGGCGGGAGTGATGGGTCTTGTTGAATTAGTACACATTTTTTCAACAATACCGCGTTATGAAACTCACGTGGCAGGTGCGACTTCCGGGATGGCTTGGTCCGGCTGCGCAACTTCCTTCTCGACAGGCTGTTGCTGCGCGACTTGAGGAGTTGACGATGCCTCGGGCGCCAGGGTCGGTACACTTTTGTTTGATTTCTCCCTCTTGAACACAGTGCTCATCCGCTTCACATATTTGCCCAGGGTGCCGCGTTCCGCATTCTTGCCCTTGTCCACCGCTCCAGTATCTGCTGGTGTCGTCATGGTTGGCGTCGCAAAGATGTGTATGCGAAATGGAGATGCAACAAAGGGGCGCTGCTAACTTATGAATAGAGTTGGCCTGGACCCGAACACATGCGATCCGGTGACGAGGTTGCGCCGTTGAAAGTCAGCCCTGCATGCAGCTCAACTAAAAATCCCTGGAGTCTGGCCACTGGAACGTGTCGGGACACCGAAGGTTTGGTAGGCGGCAATCTATTTGACGGCCAAGGACAACCCTGAGGAGTGTAAACTGGCGTACTGGCAGTTTTAACCGTTTGTCAAAGCTGGCCGGCGAGACCTGGCGATGGCGATGTGACGAAAGGTGGCGGTCCACAAGTTATGTATGTATGTGCAGAGCGGCGCGCATCAGACCATGACCCGGCTTCCCAGTGCGCTGGAATCGACCCCGAACTACACAAGCGTGGCTGAGAAAAAGCGCGAGCCGTTGGTTACAAAAGCGGACAACATCAGGGCACTGCCTGCTGGACTGGATGCGACTTCTGCGGCTGACTACGGCGAGGGACGTTTTATCGCTGGGAAAACCGCCGGGGAAGACGAATAGCAACGAGCAGTCCAGGGCTCAGGTTGTGCACGGGGAACAGTCGCACACGACGGCTGCATGCATTCTGGCTGCAACCGAGCCTGCGTCGCTGTTTGGTGCCCACGGCTCGATGTCTGCTGCGGGATCGCGGCGGCGCTGCATCCATTCCAGGCATCGATCAGTCGGCTTGCCAGCGGCCACCATGACGGAACCAGGGCCTGCGCCGCTCCGCGGAACATTGTGCCCGCATCCTGGGGGCCTCCACCCACCACGGTTTGGCAGGGCTCAAGAGCCTCTGAACCCACACATCAGGTCGACACTGTAGCACGTTGGGACTCTGCCTCAGCAGACCCTTTCCCTTTCACCTCTCACCGGGGAACATCCAATCGATGACTGGGCACACCCCACACGGTGCGGCGTTGCACTGTACTGTCTAGACAGCCTGACCCAACACGCTTTACCCAGCAAATGAGCGCCTGGATTCCGCGACGTATTGCATTTATCTGCAGCGCTGGATTCAGCAAATCCATGCGCAATCACATCGCTCCATCGGTTGCATCGCACCTGCCAAGAGGCACAGTGCAGCACCTTCAGCAGCCGGCTTAGTACGCTGCAGCCGGTAATGCACTTGCAGACAATCCGCTTGCTGCGCTGGCAGCCTGGCACACACCTGGGCACGTCGGCCGTTTCGTCCTTGAGATGAAGAGGCCAAGCGACGATGTCATCGACGCTGCAAGAGGTGCTGTTCCGCCGAAATTCTCGCCGCCGGTGGGCTTTTGGGCATGTATGCAGCTCTACCCATGGGCTGGATCGGGGCTTATGGCGGACAGTTGGGAAGCCATGGTGCCATATCGAGTCTGGCAACGACGACTTCCCAAGTGCAGCGCCGATCCGTGCTGTTTCAACCAGCCCATGCCATCGGTGGAGAAGCTTATGTAACTATGGCTGGCCCGATGACCTGGGTGGTGTGGGGATCACGCCCCTCTTCGCTTGCCGCTTGAAGAGTCGGCAGCAGCAAGCTTTCATTAGCAGTCGAGCCGAACTCTAACTTTCCCTCCCCGGTGGTTTCTGCGTCTTCTATCGACAGCCCATCATTCCCTTCCAGGTGTCTTCTACTGCACGCACGTGCGGGCGTGTACCGCGCGCGCAAACAATCCACGGCAACTTCCGCCGGCCGAGCCGGCATCACCGCTGCTGGCCGCCGTTGCTGCCCTTATCGATCGCAGTATTCCAGCATTAACATGCCTCGGGCCCCGCGCGACGCGTACTAATTCTAGACGACTGCGACATTCCAATGCGACGTCGAAGCCGCTCTGCATCTCGGTGCACATTGCCGAAATTGCATCCCATGTAGGCGCTTCGTGAGATTGACATGGCCTTTTTCTGGCGGAGGCTCGAATTCATTAGGTTTGAGTAAAATGGCATATTGTTGATGCACCATATTACAGAAGTCCCAACAACAGAAAGGCCTAGCAATTCCGATATCGTGAGACGGAGCACGGCACATGTCTGTCAGCTACACATTACAATACGTCGCAAGCCTCTAATACTAGAGCCCCTCAACATCATGAACGGTTCCTCTGGTTCGACTCAGTCTTCACGAGATCCTGTCACATGGAAAAAATGCTGGAACAGACCCATCACCACGTCTCACGATAAGCAACTTCCCCTCAAAGCCAAGCGCGATCGACTTTGGAAGGAGCAGACAACCTTGCGAACAAATGAATACTAAACATCAAACCCGGGTATAATTGTTGTTACGCTCCGTCGTGAGGCTACAACAATCGTCTACCAACGTCGCCTCGCTGTGCAAGATTTGTTGCAGGGTCTCTGAAACGCCAACAAGTACCGTGGTGGAGATGGCGGTACGGCAAAGCTTGACTCAGTCGTCTGGGCCAGAACATCACCGTAAGAGTAAGTTAGGGGGTAGGTCCCCGTGCGCCGCGCAGCGCTCAGTCCTCTTCCGCCTCCGCACCATTCCGTCCCACCCTTTCCCGGTATTTTGGGTTGCAACGGTTGGGTGTTGAGCTCGCTTTCGGAAGCTGCTATAGGAAGATCATCCACGTATCGCTCGAACGGGCAGGGTCTGTCACCGAGGCTTCCGGAAGGGTGACGCGTGCTCGGAACCGCCCATCTCCGCTGTGCAAGGCGTGGAGGATTGAATGGCTCGCAAAGTATTCGGAGATGTGACAATGTGGTAGCATCACCGGCTGGACGCTACGACTTCGGTCAATATTCGATATGCTTTCATCTCTTCGCCCTCCGAAGTAATAGCATCGCTTTCGATGATTACGAGTCTCACATCAGGTTGAAGGGAGTTATCGCGCTATTTCATTCGTATTCTGATAACACGAGCAACCAATGGAGCAATCAAGAGAAGACAACGAAAAGATGATCAAAAACACACAATGACTAAAATCTTCGACGAGAGTGACACATACGGAGTACAGACACGTATTGTCATGAAAGATCTTTCGCACATAAGATTCGTTAGACCACTTTTCAATATTCGATCTTTGTGGTCACGAGTTCAAGGGACCCATATTGTAGCAATCTCAACACACAAAAGGCTGCGCATCTTACACCAAGGCGGCTTCGGAACAGTCATAGACATTGTCTGAGTCTTTTCAGTGCTGATGAAAACAAAGGCTGAATGCCACATGGCAAAAGGTGTGTGATCTACAAGTCTTGAGCGAAGTCGGGAAGCTTGCCGCAATCGACTTGAGCATGCCCCTCATCACGAGCCATGTATCGTCCAGGTAGCTACAGATCATGACGTTGACATTGTGTGAGCCATAGCCTCCCCGTCTTCGTTTTCGAGATTCCACACTTTTTGGCACTCTCTTCCGCCTTGAATTCACTCCGCTTTTATGTGGAAGACATGGGTCTGGGTCATATAATTAGTGGATAATAACGCACATGAAAAGATCCGAAGGTCTTTTTTCCGCGCAACGTAAAGCAGTGCGGTGAGTGTACTGTAACTTTTGGGTTCGTCCACCGCGCCGAGCGCACGAGACCATGCTACTGAAGTCTGGAAGTGTGTTGGGAGAACCAGAAAGCACCACGATCAGCAACATGAGGCTCTTGGGGTGAATCAAGCCGTCCGTCGCCTTCATGAGATTATTCCCGGCATACTTCCAGCTTGCTAGCGGAAAATTATGGCATTCAGTCATTCTGTTGAATCATTCTTACCCTAGACAGGCGCCCACGCCAGGGTGACGGACATATTTCGGAACAAACCGATGTGGTATCGAAAATGAGACTGTATGCCCGGGCAGCAGGAAGCTTTCTTCCTTCCAACTGATTACATAGCGTGATGTTTTGTTGACACAATCATCCTCGACGAGGTTGCAATTCAAGGAACGTGACAGCAAGGCTAGGGAGAAGTATCTTAAACACATGGGGGTCGGGTGAGAATAACCTGACACGCAACGGGCAAGGAACAGCAGTGATGAGTAATGTGAGAGATGTGAGTATAGGCAGCTAATAGAGTATACACAGACCGATAGTAACGAATGCAACGCTAAATGCAAGACACCAATCCAACGCCTTACCAACCCCACCAAAACCCATCACTCAGACAATCTACAACCTACAATCTGCTCTCCCATCCCCTCCTTACGTCTTCGCCCTCCCATCTCTCGGGCCAAACCTTGCCCAAAGCCTCCCAGATATGGCCTACAAACTCAATCTTGAGACCCTGGGTAACTTCTAACGGTAGATCCCTTGCATCCTTTCTATTGCCTTCGGGTAAGAGTACTCTTTCGACGCCTGCCCTCAACGCTCCAATCAGCTTCTCTTTGATACCACCGACAGGCAGTACCCTTCCGCGGAGGGAGATTTCACCAGTCATGGCCAGTGTAGGCGGAACGGGCTGGTTAGAGAAGAGGGAGATGAGGCCGACGGTGTGCGCAAGACCGGCACTGGGGCCGTCTTTGGGAATAGCGCCAGAGGGGCAGTGGACGTGGATGCTACGACTCTTCATGATGTCTTCATCGTGGCTTGCACTCAGGCCGAGATCAAATGCATGGGCCTTGACCCAAGTCAAAGCTACCTCTACACTCTCCTTGAGTACGTCGCCCAGCTTGCCGGTAAGCTGAACGCGGCCTGAGCCGGGCATATCTGCAATCTCGATGAACAGAATAGAGCCTTGGCCGCCGGTGCTATATGCGACTAGCCCTGTAATGACACCTGGGCGGGAAGATTGCTCAGTGAGCTCTTCGGCGAACTTCTCGATGCCGAGTGTGGTATCGAGATCTTCCAAGGTGACAATAGGGGAGTATGCTGCGAGAGTGTTTGTGTCTTTCGCCGTGGCGTATTCGACGGCTTTGGAACGACAGACGGAGCCGATCTCGCGTTCGAGATTTCGTACACCGGATTCGCGTGTGTAAGATGTGATGATCTTGTCGAGCACGTCGGTCGGGATGTTGAGGTTCTCGTGATGGAGACCATTGCTGGTGAT